CAAACCCCTTAATCTCCCTTCAGAACGTCAATGTCGCCAATAATCACCAAAATGCCTCCAAATGGAAGTTCTCATCAGCTGAAAGGTCTTGAAGGCAGTGTGCGCCTGCCGACCCACAGCCGCAGGGGGGAGAGGGAGAAGGAAAAATGGAATGGAACTCAACGGTGGAATTCCAGAGGGTGAAAACATCAGCTTTTTGCGAGATGGGAATTCTTGGTGGAGTCTTGATAGCCTTACGGTGGTAGGATAAGAGGAGGAGGAGGATAAGAGGAAGAGGATAGAGAAAGAGAGAGAGTAAGAGGAGAGAAAGGTAGGATAAGGGGGAAAAAGATGACTTAGAAAGAAGAGGGAAGGAGAGAAATGAGAAGGTGGGGAAAGAAGACACTAGGATCGGTGTAAGGAGATTTGGGAGGGGGGGGGGAGAAGATGGGTGAAGAACAGGATAGGCAAAGGATAGAACAGATGGAAAGGAAACTAAGTTAATAAATCGAAGAGACTGTTTGGAGTGATAAATAGAAGAGTGAACAGAAATACGAAAGTATGAAGGACTTAAATAACGGAAGAAATACAGCGAAACGTTGATAAGAATATCACAGAGACAAAGGAAAGAGAAAGATAGCGAGAGAGCACAAGAAGAAACCTGCAGTCTATGAGATCGTTTGTAAGTCTCAGACGTGGAGCTAAGAATGAGGAAGAAGAATGAACAAGACACAACAAATGAGGTACAGAAAAATGAGGTACAGAAAAATGAGGTACAGAAAAATGAGGTACAGAAAAATGAGGTACAGAAAAATTAATTGCAATTATTTTTAATTTTGTATGTATTAAACCTGTCTTTATTAGTCATATCAAAGAAATGAAAGGGGAAAAAAGACAGTAAAAATTAATTTTTTTTTCTGTGAAAAATAACCATCATAATACTTCCTATTCCATGTTTTTTCCTAAGTGTAAATCGTGGAAATGTCGTCAGAAGAACATCACAGATTACCAGAGTGTTGTAAAGTAACCATTTGATGCCTCAGTTTACACGAATAGATTAGACGGACATAGACTTTTATAGACTCCAGACTTGTAAGCTGTCTACTAGACTAGAAATTAAATGTGGCTTCTGCAAGTTCATTCCCGTCAACAAATGCCAAGGCAGACCCAAGAAACAAGCATTTGGGCTTTAATAACAGTAAATTTATATTTAAGTGAATAATGATAATTCAAAGTGAAGCCTTAATTATTTAGTTAAATTAAAGGAAAGATAAATTGTGTTTTACGAGATAAAGTGACGATTGGGGTTGGTTGAAATATGATGACAATCTAACCAGTCACATGGCAGTTAAGACTGTCACATGGCAGTTAAGACTGTCACATGGCAGTTAAGACTGTCACATGGCAGTTAAGACTGTCACATGGCAGTTAAGACTGTCACATGGCAGTTAAGACTGTCACATGGCAGTTAAGACTGTCACATGGCAGTTAAGACTGTCACATGGCAGTTAAGACTGTCACATGGCAGTTAAGACTGTCACATGGCAGTTAAGACAGTCACATGGCAGTTAAGACTGTCACATGGCAGTTAAGACTGTCACATGGCAGTTAAGACTGTCACATGGCAGTTAATCCTGTCACATGGCAGTTAATCCTGTCACATGACAGTTAATCCTGTCACATGGCAGTTAATCCTGTCACATGGCAGTTAATCCTGTCACATGACAGTTAATCCTGTCACATGGCAGTTAATCCTGTCACATGGCAGTTAATCCTGTCACATGGCAGTTAATCCTGTCACATGGCAGTTAAGACTGTCACATGGCAGTTAAGACTGTCACATGGCAGTTAAGACTGTCACATGGCAGTTAAGACTGTCACATGGCAGTTAAGACTGTCACATGGCAGTTAATCCTGTCACATGGCAGTTAAGACTGTCACATGGCAGTTAAGACTGTCACATGGCAGTTAAGACTGTCACATGGCAGTTAAGACTGTCACATGGCAGTTAAGACTGTCACATGGCAGTTAAGACTGTCACATGGCAGTTAAGACAGTCACATGACAGTTAAGACTGTCACATGGCAGTTAAGACTGTCACATGGCAGTTAAGACTGTCACATGGCAGTTAAGACTGTCACATGGCAGTTAAGACTGTCACATGGCAGTTAAGACTGTCACATGGCAGTTAAGACTGTCACATGGCAGTTAAGACTGTCACATGGCAGTTAAGACTGTCACATGGCAGTTAATCCTGTCACATGGCAGTTAAGACTGTCACATAAGATGGTTTAGCCAGTCACACACCCCCCTCTCCTATCCCTCCTATCCTGTCTTCATATCACGTCTCTTATCCTATCCACATATCCCATCCACATCCTATATAATTAACTGGTCTTAATGCTTCTATGTGTTAATTACCTTACCTTTCATTACTTTATTTTAGCATAGTAAGTGTGTGGCCACGTCTGTGGTAGAAAATAATAATAACAAAAATATTACTTTATTTTACTAATTCATCCTAACGTAATCCAACCTAACTTAATCTAACCTAATCCAACCTAACCTTACCTCACCTAATCCAACCTAACCTTACCTCACCTAATCCAACCTAACCTTACCTCACCTAATCCAACCTAACCTTACCTCACCTAATCCAACCTAACCTTACCTCACCTAATCCAACCTAACTCACCTATCCTAACCTCACCTAACCTAATAGCCTAACCTAACCTAACCTAACCTAACCTAACCTAACCTAACCTAGCCTAAACCCACGTGAACGAGACGAATATTGGTGAAACATTTTTAACCCTGTATTTTCTGAAGACATTTGAACACTGTTTTGGGCTTAGCGTCATATCAGGCTCACAATGTGGACAGGTTTATCTGGTTTGGGCTTAAGGCCTATCAACCTCTGGAGGGTCATTATAAGGCCTATTAACCTCTAGAGGATCATTGGAAGGCCTATCAACCTCTAGAGAATCATTATAAAGTCTATCAACCTCTAGAGAATCATTATAAAGTCTATCAACCTCTAGAGGGTCATTATAGGCCTATCAACCTCTAGAGGGTCATTATAAGGCCTATCAACCTCTAGAGGGTAATTATAAGGCCTATCAACCTCAGTCAACCATAATATCGACGTGGCGTGGCCCATTTTGGTCGATAAGTCTGGTAAAACACCTCCTTAAGTCACTCCTACGGAAACGTCATCTCGTTCTCGCGATTTGCCACTCCGTAACAAAATGGTACGGTTGTGCCCAGCCAGAAACATCCGAACCCCCAAACAACCAACCCCAGCTAATGTATCGAGAGCCGTACGTAGCAAAAACGTCAAGTTCACGGTGCTTTAATTTGCCGCTTAACAGGTCGCATTTTTAACGGATTGGTCGAATCCGTAAAGGGATGCGACCTGTTATAGGAGAGAGGTTGTAAGACCTATTATAGGCGAGAGGTTGTAAGTGAGGCGGTTGTGTTGGCGTGGGAGGTGTTATTAGGAAGTGGCGGGAGCCGGTCGGCCGAGCGGGCAGCACACTGGACTTGTGATCCTGCGGTCCCGGGTTCGATCCCGGGCGCCGGCGAGAAACAATGGGCAGAGTTTCTTTCACCCTATGCCCCCTGTTACCTAGCAGTAAAATAGGTACCTGGGTGTTAGTCAGCTGTCACGGGTTGCTTCCTGGGGGTGGAGGCCTGGTCGAGGACCGGGCCGCGGGGACACTAAAGCCCCGAAATCATCTCAAGATAATCCTTTAACATCATTTTGGGTGAGTGTTGGGGGAGAACACTGACCACCACCACTTACACAAGGGCCACTTACAGGTGGCCCTTGTGAAAGTGGTGGTGGTTAAGGGGGGGGAGGGTGGTTAAGGTTATACTGTGAGAGGGTTAATGGGAACGTAAAAGGCGTCAGTGGAGGGGGTCCTAAGAGATGTGAAATAGGGAAATATATATAATAGGTTGAGGAGAATGATAGGGAGGGGGGTGAGAGAATGGAAGTACCTGGCAGGGGTAATGTTTGGCCCAAGCTTCCGTGTCCCCCCACCCCCCTTTACCCTCCCCTTGCCAGAGGAAGAGAGGTTGTTAAACCAAGATGTGACCTGAGGACAGCACATGCAGCAGAGAGAGAGAGAGACAGAGACACAGAGAGAGAGAGAGAGCAAGAGAGGGAGAGAGAGAGGGAGGGGTGACAAGGAGGGGAGCTTCACTGGCGTGTGGGGTTCCCCTCGTTACATCACGGGGAATTATCAGCCCTGTCACTTACCCTCACATGTTAGGCCACTCTCACGACCTGTGGAGTGTTGGGTGCTTGCCAGTTCCCTCTTCTTCCTCCTCCTCCTCCCTTCCTCTTTCCCCCCCGTGCTTCTCGACTTCCTTCGAGAATTTGGTGCCTCTTTTTCGATATGCATGAGACAATGAAACGACACTCGGATGGCGGAAAATAACGGAAGGTCTGTAGGGGCGGAGAGGAAGTGTCTGGTCCAGCGGTGTGTGGCATCGTCGGTGTGACGCCAGAGTTACCATGGAAACCGCGATCTTCCCGCCTGAGGTAAGAGTAACGGGAATTTTTGGCCTCTGCTCGTATTATATTTGTGCCCCCCTGTGTTACCGCCGCGCGGGCCCGGCTCTTGTGTTATTGTTGTGGCATGGTTCCTCCTTTCTGAACCACGATATCATAGGATTTATTCGTGCTTTTCAGACCTGCAATGTTCATTGTTTTTTCCTTTGTATAGGTGGGTCCCATAGGTAACTTGTGATTTCTGTTAGCAGGCTGAAAGCTCCTTCTCCCTTTCTCTCTCTCTCCCTTTCTCTCTCTCTCTCTCTCTCTCTCTCTCTCTCTCTCTCTCTCTCTCTCTCTCTCTCTCTCTCTCTCTCTCTCTCTCTCTCTCTCTCTCTCTCTCTCTCTCTCTCTCTCTCTTCCCCTCCTTCCCTTACTCACCTAAGTGTACTTGCAGGGGTCAAACTTCAGTTCTTAAGCCCCACCTTACGAACCATTAATACTCTAATTGACTCATTATTACCTTCAATGCTGTGTATTGAACGTCGACATATTCTTCACTTGATTCATTCGAAACATTTACAGCTCTCAAGAAAATTTTTCTGAAGCTCTGTGTCTCATTTGTGTCTAGTTTCCATCTGTGTCTCATCGTTCTGCTTCTCCTCGCTTTGGGAATTGCTTTAATCTTTATGGTCTATTTCTTAGAGAATGTTGAATGTTGTTTTCTCCTTCAATGCTATGCTTTTGGCCCAGTTTAAGGAAATTCATTTCCCTCAATCTTCCAGTTCGCTCAGTCTTCCGATTCCCCAAGACTTCCAGTTCCCCTCCCCTCTGTCTTCCAGTTCCTCCCTATCTTCCAGTTCCCCATATCTTCCAGTTCCTCCCTATCTTCCAGTTCCTCCTTGTCTTCCAATTCCCTCAGTCTTTCTTATTTGCTCAGTCCCCTTAACTCACGCAAATTAAATATGAAATAAACCAAAATATATGACTGAGGAAATAACAATTTTGCTGAACCTTTGAAGAACAGATTACAAAAATGCTCAGGAAGAAGCTTTGTTGCACGATTTTAGATCTTAGATTTAGACTAATTTTGCGTATACCTTTTTTTGGTCGCCGGGGGGGGGGGGGTCATGTCGTAGTTGCAACATGTATGATTTTTTTCACACACTGCATTATTCATTCGCCTGACGGAATGGCTGCAATATTATTGATCACACGATCCAAATTACATGAGAAACACTATAGTTCATTTGTAGGGGCTGAGAAGTGAAATGATGGAGGCGACTCAGTACATAGCTTTCAGTGTAGGTATGACAGAGCCCAGTAGTCTCTGGAACCAAGTGGCTGGGAGCTGGACACTTAGAGGCGTGTGTACTCACCTATTTGTGCTTGCGGGGGGGATGAGCGTTGGCTCTTTGGTCCCGCCTCTCAACTGTGTGTTGGACTTAGGGGCCCTTGGTAACTCACCTGGAGGGTTATTGGGTCCTTGACACTTGCTTACTGACCAACCAGCAAGTATTCTTTTGTCTTGTACACAGTTCAGGACTAAACTCAAGTGATATACTCTCGAGAAATACTTCTCTGTGTATACACATTCCTGCGTGTATATGAGAAACATCACGGTGTATATATATTTGTCCTTGTATACGAGAAACACGTATATCTGTGTATGACAGTGTCAGACCACGGAGGAAAATTGAAATAGGAATTTCCTTAAGTACCTTCGTATATTAATACATCTTCAGAAGGAGTCAATGTTTATTTTCGTGATTTACACACATATCTGTGTATGTATACTTCGGTGTACAGCAGGAACACCGCTGGGCGTGTATACCCACTCCATGTATACGAGGTATGAGGGATAAGTTTAAGGGTATAACACCAGCCTGCAACTCACGCACCTCTGTCTGAACTTTACGGGCCGCTGGTTCGAGGCTGCTCGGACTTTCTAACTTCACCCGCGTTCACTTCTCTACCAAGTTTCACCTCGTGTTGTTTATGGTGTTGTGACGTTTGCTTCATGACGCTTAAGATAAGGTTATGCACAAGCGTTAGTTTAGCGTAAGCAGCGTGTGAGGGATGCGTCCAGAGATGGTGTCGAGAAGTGCTTCGGGGAAGCTTGCTTCCCTTTTATCATTCAGGAAAGGCAAAGTTAACACACTTGACAAGTGCATGAAAATAGACGCACAAACGCTCAGTTTTAATTTAAGGTGTATAATTTTTTTCTGCATATGTCCTAATGGATAACGTAAACATCACCGGAGAATGGGATTAGGAGGTTTCCTGAATCAAAGTCATAAGCCATCTGGACCGTGCAGCCATACGAACACATCATCAGCTGATGGTGTAAACAAAAGCGTCTCACTCGGTGTTTTATCAAGTATTTGCCTTGCTCTCGCTGCAAAGGGACGTAATAACATCGTGCCATTACCAAGATGCGATTAAAGTAGCTGGAGGAAGCTGGGCTCAGCGTCCCGGGCGTAAACTGCGACGAACATTTAGCTAGCAAAAGAGCTTTTATTAATAGTTGCTGGGCGGCTGCGTGTGTGAACGTAAAACACCTTCCTGACGGGTGTTGGTGTTGTAAATACCGACCAATTAGTGGAACTACGTGTTGACTCCTGTCAAGGGGGACGGCGGGGGGGGGGGGGGGGAGGGGGGGGGGAGCCAGTAACTCTTGTGTCTTCTTTGTTTTATGCCTCTTGGTTCATCATCACCATTTTGTGAATTGTTTAATTTTCCTTTGTTCTTCCGTCTTTGTATCTTTTGGTTATATTATTCAGTTTTAGTTAGCACGTTTAGTTATTTTTCTTCCACCTCAAGGTATTCATGTATATAAAAGTTCCTGTCCTTGGTTTTTCTCGTCCTTCTCCTCCTAATATTTGTCTTCCTTGTCCACGTCTTCCTCGTAATCTTCGTCTTCCTTGTCCACGTCTTCCTCGTAATCTTCGTCTTCCTTGTCCACGTCTTCCTCGTAATCTTCTTCTTCCTTGACCTCCTCCACCTTCTGTTCATCATTTCATTTTCCTTCGTTTCTTCATCTTGGATCATGTTTCTCATCTTAAGACTACACTTCTGCCACCACTATAAACTACTGGGACCGACTAAAGAGCCTAAATCTGTACTCCCTTGAGCGCAGGCAGGAGAGA